GGGGCCTAATCTGCCGTGCTCCTGGTTTTTTTTTTGCTGCCTGCTCCTTAGCTCGGGAGGTCTATTCTGCCGTGCTCCTGGTCATTTTCTGCCGTGCTTCTTCGCATTTGGGGCATCTTCTGCCGTGTTCCTTGTCTTTCTCTGCCGTGCTCCTTCGCTCTTGGGGCCCATTCTGCCGTGCTCCTGATCTTTTTCTGCCGTGTGCGCCCAGAAGCTCTGCCAAGACGACCACCGCGACGATCCGCACGGCAGATACAGGAACACGGCAGAACCGCGCACGACACCGACAAAAAACACAGGGGATGGACGTCCGAGCGATGGCGAGTGACCAGCAGGGGGAGTCCAGCTCTGCCGTGCAGGGTGCGGTGGCGGGCGGCCGTGCGCTCGCTCGCAGGGCTCCCGCTGCTTCGTGGGTGGACAGACCTCCTACCCTGAGCCCTAGATTAGTGAATTGGCTGTTTTCGGTTCTCGAGAGGGCGCCGTGGCCGTTCTTTTCCAGGCTTGCGCCCGCCAGGTTTGGGCCTCAGGTCGTTTGCACTAAACCACGTTTTGCTAAAGGGAGGTCTGTCCATCCCCAACTGCTGCTGCCGCTGCCTTTCCGCAGCACTGCCTTTAAGTCGGGCCTGCCCCTCTACAGGGGGATTTTCGAAGAAACATAAAAAACACACCAAACATGGCCAAAAAATAATACAGACATAGTATGGGGACTATTTTGTGTATATTTTTCGACTTTTTCGGTGTATGTTTAGAGTATTATTGTTTTTTCGTCGGAAATCCCCCTGTAGGGGGGCAAGCCCGACATAACACTGCCTTGCCGTGGGGCTGCCCAGGCGAGGAGGAGGTCACCACCCACCAAACCACCCCAACCCAGCCCGAAGGTCCAAATGTACCATCGATTTCTTGTGTGGGGGGGGGGCCGGGGAACATCGAAAAAGCACATGTGGAACCCGTACCCCCCCCCCCCAACCCGAAAGTCTGGTCTTCGGCTTGGGTTGGGGTGGCCTGGCAGGCAGTCCGGAGGGTGCCAACGTAAGGCTCGAGGTCGCCGAAGCTCGTGTCTGCCGATGCTTCTGTTACGGGCCCGTCTCGAATGTTTCAGGAGGAGAAAAAACACACAGACACAATTAATCGGCGATCCCCAGGAAAATATGGGAAAATATGGGAAGTGGAGGGGAAGACAAAAACCCAGAAAATATTTGAAAATATGGGGAATATTTTTATTTGTGTGTATTTATTTGTGTGTTCCAGTTCCCCTTCAATGTTGGCGGTCCAGTTCTCGTGTGGTGTCTGCAGCGGGTGCTCGCGCCGAGTTTCCGGCCGAGCCTCCTCGTCTTGCCGACGGCCTCGTCGGGCCGACCCCGGGCCCCCCCAAAAGTTCCGTGCCTCGCGCTTCCCTGGTTCGGAAGGGGGCGCGCAGAGGCCTGGCATCGCTCGGACGCGTGCATTTTTTTTCCCAACCCTCCTTGGTTGGGTATTCGTCTTGAATAGAGCAGTGTGGTCTCCACTCCCTTCTTCCCGTCCCGCCTCCCTCTTGCCTCCTCCTGTCTTGCCTGCGGGGGCTGCGGTCTGTGAAACTGTCGCCACTTTCGAGGCCTGCTGGGGGGCCCAGCACAGTGACGCCACGGGCATATTCAAATTAGACCTCGCCATCCCTGGGGGGGCTGCGATCTGTGAAACTGTCTCCACTTTCGAGGCCTGCTGGGGGGGCCAGCACAGTGACGCCACGCGCGGACCCAAATTAGACCTCGCCATCCCTGGGGAGCTGCGATCTGTGAAACTGTCGCCACTTTCGAGGCCTGCTGGGGGGCCCAGCACAGTGACGCCACGCGCGGACCCAAATTAGACCTCGCCATCCCTGGGGGGCTGCGACATGAGATCCCCGCTTTCGAAGTGGCTAGGGTTGCTCAGGGATTGTAACTAATCAGCTTTATCTAGTCCTTGTCCTGTAGCCAGTGTCCTGCGAGTCTCCCGAATTCCGTCTGCAGACGTATGTAGCCCTCGCTCCGTCATCGCCCCCCTTTTTATAAAGTGTCCTAAACTATTTGCGCCCCGCGTTTGCGCAGGGGTTGGGTACGTCGCCAGGGTATTTTTTCTCGGCGAGGGCCATATCGAGGAGCGCACGCTGGGCCATTCTGCGAACAGAGCCACGCACGACACCGAGAAACATGCACGGGGAAGGGACGGCCGAGCGACGGCAGGCGAAGGGAAAGCAGAGGCGCGCGCAGGGGCCCGCCCAGAGGCCGACCCGGACACGCAGCGTGCGCGTCGGTGGCCGACAGCAGGCACATTCGGGGGCGGGCAGACCTCCTGCCCTGACACGCCGATTGAGGAATCGGCCGCTTTCGGTTCGCGAGAGGGCGCCGCGGCCGCCCTTTTTGCGGGTCCGGGTCCGTCGGTTTCGGTCCCAGGCCGTTTTCACTAGGGAGGTTTGTGCACTGCCGGTATGTCCGGACTCCCAGATCCCAAGCTGCTTCGGGCGCCTTCCCCACTGCAGTCACCGAGGGCCTTCCCCTTCTCCTTCCTTCCCCATGGGGGCGGGCGGCAGCCCGG